AAAGCAGCATTTTGCCCTAAAATACAGAAATCCGGCTATTCCGAGGCGGCTCAATGGAACACACACCACCTGAACAAAAAGTAAACCTTCCATTCAACCCCTCAGTGCTGTTGAAAATTATTTTTTCTGTTTTTTTTTTTTTTTTCTTGCCAGCTTTTAAAGTCCACAGCCTTCTCATTCAATCCTGAATAATAGCTCTGAATCGAGCTGTAAAAGCTTCCGAAGTTTGAAGTCTTTTGACAAGTTAATTTAGCTGTATGGTAAAAAGTTTTCCCCCCAGATAGAATAAAGCCATCATCTCATGAATGTAGGAGTCAGCCAAGGGAAAGAAAACACCATTAGGATTAGAAATGATGGGCTTTATGGAGATAGTTTGTGGTTTAGTGTAATCTACTATCAATATTTCAGTAGAAAAATATCCTACTCGTCATTCAGCTGCAAGTCAGGATCTTCACGTAAAACCGACACCCAGGGGCCAGGCTGATACGTTTTTACTTATATACATACATATGTATATATTTTGTCATTTGTTCCTTACGTTTATTTAGATTTTAATTGGGTTTCACCCCCTACGATATCTTTGTTTGTTTGTTTGTTTGTTTTCTTCTGATTGAAAGAGACAGAAGAGGAAAAAAAAAAGAATCAATATTTCCCCCGAGGTTCCCACTATAGAGAGACACACCCCACATTTTTCTCCCAGCAGCTGCCGTGGAGGAAAATTCAAGGAACTAAATGTCATAAATTGATACATATTTCCCTTATTTTTACAGTTAAAAATCAGAAAACAATCACTGGTTAAGCAAAGTGAAATCCAGCGATTACTGTAGCTTCGTCTTCAACAAGATTCAGTATTAATTTTAGACTTATTTCTTGGTTTCATCTAAATTTAAGCCTTAGTGTGCTACTAAAATTGACTGAAGTAAAAAGACAGTTGAAGGGGAAAAGAGATTTCTCTCATACTCTTCATTCTTCGCTCTAATCAAGAGGGATGATGACACAGTAAGAACTTTTGGACAGTGGTTTGTAATGGCCACAGAATAATTTTTGTTTGCATAATAGGAATGATGGTCCTTGTGGATCTCTTCCAACTCAGGATATTCTATAATATAGTTGAGAGCAAAGCTGCTAAATAAATAAGAAACTTAGAAAATCCAGAAAAATCAAATTTTAGCCAGGAATTTTAATTTAAAAATGCCTTCTACTTAGTCATTGTAAAATGTCTGCCATAACAACAGAAAAAAAAAAAGAAGGAGAAAAAGTAAATATGGGGAAGAGAGCAATATTTACATTGCGACCTTCACTTTGAGCTTCACTCACTCCTTACTTTTTCCCCCCCTAAGTGGGGGACAGGGACTTGATTTTGCCCAATCCAACAGCAATAAGTTGTTTCTGAGTCTGGCTCTTATTGCTTCAGAATTTAAGCTTTTCAGGCCCTGAGTGCTGAAGACTTGATGAAGTGTTGGGCGTGCAGACAAGCTGGAAAATGGCTTTTACAGCCAAAGCCAGGCTTCCTCAGCCTCAAAAGTGGAGGAGAACCACCTTGTCCTCCTGCACAGCTCCACTGAGCCAGGCAGGACTGCACAGAGCACGGATTTGGCAGCACTGGAAACAAGAAATGTCCATCTCTGCAAGAGTGTTGTAACCAAGACAGAAGGAGGAGTCCCAGCTGGAGCAAAATTCATCAGGACAAACAATACAAAGCACAAAAGTAAAGGTACTGGGGTGGCAAACACAGGAGTGGGGGGATGTGAATTGAACATTTTCTGTTCCGTGTTGGGTTTTTTGGGGGTTTGAGTTTTCTTTTGCTGGCAGAAAGGAGTAAATAATGTGCTGAGGGAAGGATGGAGAGCAGGTGGGAGCGGGAGGTAAAGCAAAGAAGAGTGATGGGTGGGACAGGAAAACCGAGGGAGAGCAGGGATGGGGACTGATGGATCAGGAGGAAGAAGAGGGAGCAATCACCAGGTAGGGATTTGTGTCTAGGCTTGACTTTCTCCAGGGAACCAAGTGGCACCAGCACTTGGAGTGGATCCTTGGTGCCAGGGCTCCAGAGGAAGTTCCTGCTGGCTTTTTTCCTCACTTTATCCTCCTTTTTTTTTTTTTTTAGGCCATGGAGGCAGGATCAGAGTGGAAAGCTGAGGCACCTATTTTAATTCTAGCAGCTCTGTGTGACTAGAGAGGGAAATTAAGCTGGAGTGTTGTGATGGCTGTTTCCTGCTTAAGAACATAAAAAATGGAACCATTCCTGACAAACAAGGAGTTCAGCTAAAGATGAAGTGGAGGTAGGCGGGAAGTTCTGTAATTGCTTTTTATTTAAATCTTTATGAATTAGCTCTGCCAAGGTTGGGTTTTTGGGGTTTTTTTTTAGATTTTTATTTTTTTGCTTGAAATGGCTTCTGAGTAAATTTTTTCAGCTGCAATTACAGTAAAAACAGACTATATACAGCTATAGCCAATGTGTTGGATTTAACATATAGGAAGAATCCTTTTCCTTGTGAATCTCTGAGGTCTAATTTACATGAAGAATGACAAAGGTTTAATTTTCTGTCATTATGCACAGGTTAGCCTAGACTGGATATTAATAGAGACACATATTCACACCCACAACCACTAGTAGGGCATCAATCAAATTTTGAAGATTAAACTTACACTCCCTGGCAACTTTTAGGGCACAGTTTTCTTGTCTTGTTTCCTCTTTTGAAACTACTTCAGCAATGCAGAGAGAGACCAGGTCTGCAGTTCAATACCCAGCCCTTAGTGATGGGGAATGGGGGGGGACACAGGCAGGGCTATGTCTAGAAGCTTCAACGACCAGTTGGGAAAAATACTGGCTGTAACCCACGTTTGGTGGGTTTGGGACTAAATTCTGGAGCAGAAATGGGGACAAGAGAGGGCAGACACTCACCTGGCTGCCACAGGTGGCTCTTACAGTGACCACCCAGCAGTGGATCTGTGCCCTTAGCAAATATTACCTTGTCACAGCTGGCATGAGTCACCTTCTAGTCCTAAAGCCCTTCCACCTACAGGTCTCCTGACACTTAAAAATAATTTGGAGATTATTTATACACACTTCCATCCATCTATCTGAGCACACAAGCTGGCCCCGAATAAAGAGAGCAGAACAACCACCCGAGGAAACCTAAAACCTCACCAACCAAAGAACAACAAACAAGCCCACGAGCCCACAGGAGCTAAAAAGGAAACAAAAAGGGCTTCAGCTTTAGGTAGAAGCAGTGTTCTTAATGCCAGTGGTGTTCTCAGGTGGGTATTACAGGGAGAATAGCCTGAAATTTCGGGCTCCAGGGGGGGCCATGCTGCCTGTAGGCTCGAGCTTAGAACAAGCAAAATATAATGTTTGTAAGTTGACAGGAATAAATTAACCTCCTAAAGTAAGATGGAAAGCTGAAGTTAAAGGGATGTTATTGTTGATGGGACTGCTGGAGTCATTTTGACCTCTGCCAAGACTAGGGCAGAGAATCCCAGAACAGCCCGAGCTGGAAGGGACCCAGAGGGATCACAGAATCCCAGAACGGCTTTGGGTCGAAAGGGACCTTAAAGCTCATCTCATTCCAACAACCTGCCGTGGGCAGGGACACCTTCCACTAGACCAGGGATGCTCCAACCTGGCCTTGAGCACTTCCAGGGGTGGGGAAATTACTGATGGATCAGCCAGTCCAACTCCTGGCCCTGCCCAGGACACCCCAACCATCCCACCCTGTCCCTGGGGGGGTTATCCAAGTGTTCTTTGAGCTCTGGCAGCCCTGGGGCCGTGCCCACCGCCCTGGGGAGCCTGTTCCCGGCATGGCAAAGAAAGCGACTGAAAGGGTCGGGTCAATATCCCAAGGATTTTTTGTAAGGGTGGCCCTTTCAAACGAAAACGTCCCATAAAAGCCAAAGGGAAAAGGAGCAGTGTTTCTATACCACCACAAATATGCAAATTTCGAGGGAGGGACAGAGTTGTTAGCGATTCCCATCAGGTCCCAGAATTTATGTAAATCCAGATGGCTGAACGACACGAGTTCATTTTTTTTTTCCTGTAAGGGAAATCTGGAAGTTTTAAAAACAATTTAGCGAGAGCCAATTAGTCAAGGGCGGCAGAAGCGGGCTGGGATGGATGGATGGATGGCTGCCTGCGAGCAGGAATGTCGCGGCTCAGCTTCTCCCAGCCAAGGATGGGGAGAAACCCCTCGGAGGCTGCAGGGGGAAGTCCCCCTTCCACCAGGCCGGGTTGGTTGAGCAAAGCCTCGTCCAACCTGGGCTTGCAGAGTTCCAGGGATGGGGCACCTCTGGGGAAAGGAGATGGGTGTTTGAAGCATCTCAGGTGGGATGTTCCCAATGGGATCGCGGCTCACTTTCTCGCCCGAGTTGCTGAAATATTTTGGTTCCCGTGACCTGGAATGTTCGGAGCCAGGACTTGGGAGTTTCAGGCAGTGCATTAATCAAAGTTCACTGGGGTGACTGCTCGGAACACCAAAAAAATCAGTTTAATGTTGAATGGTTGACAGGAAAACAGACACAGAGGTAAGCGCGAGGCAATTCCTTTTCATGTTTGTTTATTTATTTATTGACTCCTGGCAATTCAAGCAAATATTTTTGAACCGCGCCCTGCCCTTTTTGCCTTTTTATCCCTCCTTTCAGCAGTTCGCCGGTTTTATTGACGGATAAAACAAAACAGCCCTTCGGGATTGGGTGCGGAAAACCGGGTCGAAAAAAAGTTTCTTATTGAATTAGGGCCCTGTGTACGTAGCGAGGGTGGTGCGGGGTGCCGGGCCCCGTGCCGGGCTCCTGAGGGACGCGGCCCCCACGGCCCTGGGGGACGCCGGGGGGCGGCGGGCGCAGCGCCAACATGGCGGACCCGCCCGGCCCCCCCGGTTACCATGGGGACGGGCCGCGCGCCACGGGGCGGGGCCGGGCGGGCGCGCGGGGCGGGGCCCGATTGGTTCCCTTCCCCCCGCCGGGCTATAAATAACCCGAGCGGCCCGATTGGCCGCGCCGCGTAAATGGTCGCACCACGTGACTCCCCATCTGCGGGGGGGAGGGAAAAAAAAATAAATTCCAAGATGGCGGGTCCCGTCGCGGGCTGAGTCCGTCGGTGGCGCGCTCCGCGCCGGGGGGAGCCCATCGCCGCGCCGCTTCCCCGCCTCGCCCTCCGCACAGGTCAGTCCGCGGCGCCGCCGCCCCCCTCGCTGGGCCGCCCTCAAGGCCGCGCCGGCCCCGCGAGCCCCCTTTAGGAGGCCGCGCGCGCCGCGCCGCGAGCCGCTCCCGGGGGCCGCGCGCGCGCCGTGGGCTCGGGGGAAGGGGGTGGCGAGGGGGCGGGAGGAGAAGGTGACGGGCAGGCGGCGCAGCCAATCGGCGGCCGTGGCGGGCGGATTTGAGCAGCGCGGCCCCCCCCGCGCCGCGCGCTGATTGGCCGGCGCGGCGCCGGGGAGGGGCGGGGCCCGCCGCGCGCCATCACCGCGGCGCGGGCGTGGCACGCGGCGGCGGGCGGGGCGCGGCGGGGAGGGGGGCGTGACGGGCAGCGGCGCCGCCCAATCAGCGCGCGGGGCCCCGGTTTTTTGTGAATGGGGAGGGCGGGGCCGGAGCGGAGGGGGCGGGGCCGGCGCGGGAGCAAGCCCCGCCCCTCCCGGGCGGCCGCGGCTCCGCCTCGTCCCCGTCCCCGGCGGCGCTCGGTCCGTGCGGGGCTCGGTCCGTGCGGGCTCGGCGGGGCGATGCGGGCGGCGGTGAGTGACCGCGCGGCGGGGCGCGGGGCCCGCACCCGGGGCCGGCGGGGCGGGCGCGGCCCTGCGGCGGCGGCGGCGGGGCGACGCCCGCGGGGGGGCCCTGCGGCGCCGGGCGGGCCGCGGCCACGGGGATCGGTCCTTCCATCCCTGCCCCCCCTCCCTGCTCCTCCCTTTATCCCGGGAATGACGCGGGACTTGCGGAAAGTTTGCGCGCTCGCGCCGGGCCCGAGGGCCCCGCGGCCCCGACCCCCTTCTTAAAAAGCCACCAAAAAGGGCTTTTTTTTTTTTTTTTTTTTTCCTTTGCGCCCGGGAGGATTGGACGCGGGGCGCGCTCCCCGCGAGCCCGGAGGTGGCAGTGACAGGTCCGAGGCCCAAGGCTGCAGCTCCATCCCCCCAAAACTCCCATTTTGGGGGGACCAAAAGCAGCCCAAAGCTCAGCGCCGGGCTAAAGGAACCCGAAACGCGGAGGTTCGAGGCCGGCTCGGAGCGGGGAGGGAGGTGCTGCCCGGCGGCCGCGTGCGGGATTTGCTGCAGGAATTTATCAGGGAAGATGCTGCGCGGTCCCAGCGCTCCCCGAAACATTCCCCGCTGCCCAAATGTTGTCCCCCGGGTGTCCGCGGCCCCCTGGCAGCTCAGGGGAGCAGATGGATTTCCATAACGATGATTTGACGCCGGGCAGCGTCTGGAGGGAAGGGAACCTGCCCTTCGCTCAAAGCACTTGCGTAATTGTGTCGTGCGCCCGTTTGCTGGTAGTGGAAGGTGCTCTCTTTTTTTTGGTGGTTTTTTCGCTTGGCAATGGGCTATTTCGGCGGATTCGCATCAATTAGGCTCCTCACCGTCGTGTTCCAGCCTTGCCTCATATTCCAGGCTGGATTAGAGCTCTAAAAACGCTCCCAAGGAGTGTGTGTGTGTGGGGGGATCGGTGTTGGAAAGGTGTGGGTGGATTCGGGGTGTGAAAATGGCTTGTAAAATCTGGGATGGGGCGTGCGGCGGGATATCGGTGCTCCCGTTTCCTGCCCCTTTCTTCCCCTTTGATCCCACCAGGCACCTCCTTGCCGTGCTCGTTTCCCACAGATGATTTGAGGCTGAAAAGGTGGAGCAAGTATTATTTTGGCCCCGGGAGCCACAGCAAATTTCACTGCTGAGGGAATAATCCCCTGGCCAGTGCGTTTTGATGTGCTGGTACCGTGGCCTGTCAATAAACAGGACTCGCTGCCCTCAAAGTGCTTCTGCCGTTGGCAAAAGCTACCTGGAGTTAATTATCTGAATTGGGCTTTTTTCTTTTTTTTTTTTTTTTAATTTCTTCGTCTTGTTGTTGTTGTTGTAACGGCAACGTTTTTAAAGGCTCAGGAGCTCTGAAGTTTATATAATAATCTGGTTCTTGGCAAGGCTCCGTGGTGGTTTTGTGTGCGTGTGTGTGTAATGCGGTCGCGGCGCTGAGTTTTAATCGTTTCTGATGTTTCCAGCACCACTGTTTGGGAGTTCTGAGCCTGAAAAGCTGCAGCAGCCTCGCTGGGGAAGAGTTGAGGGCACTGGAATTAAGAAAGCTCAGCTGCTTGTATACAAATATACAGCAATTACAAGGCAACAAAGTTATTGCAGAACCCTGCCGTCGCCATGGCGACACGCTCACTCAATTACATTTGGAAATGTAAAATGCCACCCAGTTAGAAAGAGTAAGTTTTAGCGACTGCAGATTTTCCGGAGAAGGCGAAACGTGGAAGCTGCGGCTTTCCAGGATTCCGTGTTTCCCTCCGCGCTCCGGCACGTGCGTCTCGCCGAGTCCCCTCGCTGGTGTCGAGCCGTGCCCTCGGTGGGCTGAACCGGGTGGAAAAAACGCAGCTCAGCCTTGACAGTTTTAACTTTGCCGCCCTCTAGTAGTTTTTGGTTTTGCTTCAGGGCTTGGCCTGAGGAAGGGGAAGAGCGTTTTGGAAAATCACCTTGGAATACCAGAGGAATTTGTCGTTTGCTTAATGGGAGTGGAGACAGGGAAGAAAAGCACACAAAAGGCTTGTGTTCCTTGTGTTCCTCCTAAACAGACTATCCTAAAGTGGAGGAAAACTGGCAGGTGGGAGAGAAAGCAGTGAGGTTGTTGAGAAGCCCGGGGAGTGTCCGGTGAGGAGGTGGCAGGTGGAGGATATCAACATCCTGATGTGGGATGCAGGTGAACTCCTCAGTGGAGCTCAGTTTCCCTTATTACCTGCCTTTTGATGGTGAATCACTGACAAAATGAAGAAAGGCCATGTTGGACAGGGCTTGGAGCAACCTGGGCTGGTGGAAGGGGGGTGGAACAAATGGGCTTTAAGGTCCCTTTGCACCCAAACCATTCCATGAGTCTCTGAAAATAGCAAAAGTAGTTTCTGGCTTAATCTTTGTGCTGGTGAAGCTGCAACTCTGCTGAAAAGGTAAAACCAACAATGCAGTAAAACAAACAAACAAGGTAAAAAAAAACACCAAAAAAATAAAAACAAACATTAGGTTGCCCCCCTTTTTTTTTTTTCCCTTTAGTAGGAGTGGTGTGTTTACAGACACCTGGAGATTGATGAACTCCTGAAGGGGTTACCTGGTAACAGGAGCTGGTAAGAGATGTTTAGGTGGGTGCAGATTGCAGGGGGGTTGTCTAGAAGAATGTGGTTTGCCCAAATCTTCAGGGGCTTGAACTCCAGGCTTGCCTCCTGAACCCTTGGAGCATCTGGATTGGGCAAGGTTTGCAGGACCCATGGACCTGAGCTGGCTTAGGGATGGTTTTGGATGGAAGTTTGTCCAACCTGGCAGGTGGTTGTGCTTTCACCACGAGCAGTGGCCCCGTGGTTCACCCTCTCCTCAAAAGCAGCAGCTTGAGCTCGTGGGAATTCCAACCCTTGTGCTTGTTTTTCTCTTCTCCTTCTGCCACAGAATCATGGAATAGTTTGGGTTGGAAAGGACCTTAAAGCTCATCTCATTCCAAACCCCTACCATGGGCAGGGACACCTTCCACCAGCCCAGGTTGTTCCAAGTCCTGTCCAACCTGGCCTTGGACACTTCCAGGGATCCAGGGGCAGCCACAGCTTCTCTGGGCAACCTGTGCCAGGGCCTGCCCACCCTCCCAGGGAAGGATTTCCTCGAGTGGAAGCCCAGGAGCTGCCCATTCATAGCTGCTGGAAAGGTGGAGGTGAGTCTTCACCCTTCAGTCTGGTGTTGGGCTGCAGGGGTGAGGAGTTGGACTTGTTAAAAATAAAGGTTAAAACTGCCCAGGAGTTCAGGTTAGTTTGCCCTCTTAATCCCTCTTGGAAATGGTGTGTGCTTTCTGTGCAACAGGCCTTTCAAGGCCAGCCTAAGGTGTATCTGTGATCCTGAAATTTGCCCTCAAGGTTCATCTGCAGCTTTGAAATCGGGGGAAGCTGCAGATTTTTCACACAGGAATGTGCCCAGACCAAGGGTTGAGACAAAAACTTGCCCCCAAACACGTAATATGTGATAGAATCAAATATTTTAGGCCAGTTTTCCTTCCTCTCCCAGTGTTCCAGTGCCATGCCTGCCTTTGGAAGTTCAGTGGGACTGGTTGTCCTCATGTTTTGCCCAGCTCAGCCCGGGTCTGTGTGGGATAAGTGCTCTGTGTGCTGAAGTGATGCTCCCTTTGGGCCCTGAGTGCTCACTGCCCTGCTGTGCCAGCTGAATCTCGGGGTTAGAGTGGTTCTTTGGTGTCCTTTACAGCTGAAGAAGTGATTTGTGTCACACTCCTTGGTGTTGTGGATATTTGTATTTACTGGAAAGAAATACTCCTCGGCATTGTGTTTATATCTTTATATCTGTGTGTACATATCTCCATCTCTATATCTATGTACAAAATAAGCCCCCAAGCCCTTGGGACTGTATTTTCACTCCTCCTGCATCCAGGGGTGAGCACACACAGAGATGTTACCAGAGGCATGGATTTGCTGAGTGGCATCTGTTGCAGGCCTGTTCCAAACAGCAAAGCCTGCCCCAAAACACAGGGAAATATTAATTGAACATGTTATTTGGCCACTGGTAATGACATTCATTAAATATTTGCCAAGTGTTCTTGTTGGTTTCTTTGGTGGTGCCATCTCCTACTTCATTCCTCCCCCAGTTTCCAGTTGTCCCATCGCTTTTCCATGGTGCACAAGGTTTTGCCTGGTGTACAAGGGTTTACATTTTATCAGTCCTGCGGAACTCTTGGAGTTTGTGCTTTTGTAAGAGCATGTTTTAGTGGGCAGAGAAGGTGACAGGATGTGTCTTGTCACTGAATTCACAATTGCTTTTGAGTTTGGAGCCCACATCCCCCCGGGTGGCTTCTCTCTCCCATTTCCCTGTACTCCCAGGATCCCCAGATCCAACCTGGTTCTCCTCACTTGCTGAGCTCAGAGGGCCTGGGGATAAAAAAATCGTGCAAATATGTGTGTTTGCCTCTCAGTTTGAGCTGAGAAACAGCAGAAA